AGTACGAGGCCTATATCTTCGGGATTGGAGCTGCCATTGATAATAGGATCAAGATTCTAGAGGTCTATGGAGATTATGTGCTTGTCATATGTCAAATTAAAGGGGAATACGAAACACTTGATGTCAAGTTGATTCCTTATAGAGATCATGTCTTGAAGCTATTCCCATACTTTGATGAAATCACTTTTCATCACATCCCCAGAGCAGAAAACCAATTGGAAGACGCTCTAGCAATGTTAGCATCCATGTTTTAAGTCAAGTGGAAGAACGAGGCACCGTCCATCCGTTTAGAGTACCTTGACAAACCTGCTTATTGTCTGGCAATCGATGTTGCAGAGCTTAAAATTGATGATCATCTTTGGTTCTACGATATCAAGCGGGATCTAGAAACACATGAATATCAAGAGGCCATAACCATCACTGACAAGAGATATCTTGGGAAACTCTCATCAAAGTTCTTCCTCAGCGGTGATGTGTTGTACAAAAGGAATTATGATTCAGTTTTGCTCAGATGCGTGGATAGACACGAAGCAGAGCGTATCATAAACGAAGTACATGAAGGGTCTTTCGGGACACACGTCAGTGGCCACACTATGGTTAAGAAGATCTTGAGGGCAGGATACTACTGGATGACAATGAAAATAGACTGTTATCGTCATGTCCAGACATGTCACAAGTGCCAGATTTATGCAGACAAAGTTCATGCCTCACCACTTCCTTTGAATGTGTTGACTTCGCCTTGGCCTTTTGTCATGTGGGGCATAGACGTAATCAGATGTATCGAGCCAACCGCTTCCAATGGACACCGTTTCATCTTAGTCGCCATTGACTACTTCACCAAATGGGTGGAAGTCGTATCCTATGCTAACGTCACCAAACAGGTAGTGACTGGCTTCATCAAGAAAGAAATCATCTACCGATATGGAGTTCCAAATAAGATCATTAATGATAATGGTTTGAACCTCAACAATAAAATGATGAAGAAGTTGTGCGAAAGCTTCAAGATTGAGCACCATAACTCGATGCTATATCGCCCAAAAATGAACAGAGTTGTTGAGGCGGCAAACAAAAACATTAAGAAGATTGTCCAGAAGATGGTAAAAACTTATAAAGACTGGAATGAGATGTTGCCATTTTCCCTCCATGGCTACCGCACTTCAGTGCGCACTTCCACTAGGGCAACCCCGTTTTCTCTCGTGTATGGCATGGAAGCAGTGATGCCTAATGAAGTAGAGATTCCTTCCCTGAGGATCCTAGTAGATGTCGAGCTAGATGAAGCTGAGTGGATACAAGCAAGACTCGACCAACTTAATCTCATCGACGAGAAACGCATGACAGTCGTCTGCCATGGTCAACTATACCAAAAGCGGTTGAAGGGGCCTTTGACAAAAAAGTTCACCCACGACACATCAAAGCAGGAGATTTGGACCTGAGAAAAATTCAGCCAACTCACATCGACCCAAGGGGAAAATGGACACCGAACTATGAGGGTCCATATGTAGTGAAAAAGGTTTTCTCCGGAGGGGACTTGATTCTTTCAACCATGGACGGTGATGATCTTTCATCCCCTGTGAATTCAGATGCAGTTAAAAAATATTATGCCTAAAAGATAGACCCGGTGGACCAAAAAGAAAATCCACGCAAAAATGGGCGACCTGGTGGACCATGTAAAAAGAAAAGGTCCAAGCAAAAATTAGGGACTAAAATAAAAGAAATATCCCGGTAGGCTGAAAACCCGAAAGGGCGGCCTAAGCAAAAGTTAGGGACTCAAAACGCTAAACTGCATCCTGAAAAGACGTGTGAGCTTTACTCCATGATCACTGAACTCCGGCTGGGAGAGATTAATGCAATTGTGGCGCTCAGAAGTAAGGCATAGAGGGTCTTCAGAAATATATGGGTCATAGTAGAATTGAAACTCGACAGAAACCGATTTCAACATTGTCGTTGTATTTTATTTCTCTTTCAAAGCAATTACCTCTTTTAGGAATTTTCTCTTTTTGTAATTTTCCCATTTATGGGTCTTCATTAATAAAGATTACTTTCATCAAAAGTTTCTCTTCTATTTTCTTATTATATGTTTGCAAGATTTGTTTTATTGGTGATAAGTATGGCACACAATAGCATTGTGGTGGAAAGAAATTAAGGGATTACTTCTTCTCTTAGGGTAACCATAAGGTGACCACAACTCCGAGAAACATTCAGGAACACCGTTCAAAGTCACGAGGTGACTTGGCCGAGACAGATCATCTAGCCTAGAAGAAACTGGTGCTAAAATTGAGAGTCTTAGCATCTCCAAAACTTGATTGCATCATGAAGAAATGATGTCGGGAAGTCGAGCTTGTTCCCTATCCGGCCCAAAGCCCAATCATTTTTGGCACCTCTTTGTTATGAAGCCACTTTTGGCTGACACTTCTTCGTGAAACCACCTTCGAATGGTACCTTTCACCTTGCATATCTACGTTCCCCAGCAAGCCCAGCTGCGCTTGGCACAATTGTCACTCCAGACCCTCTCATATCCCTAGCATTATACATACATCTTGCATCAAATGCATACCTAAATCATAGCATACGTCCTCAACTCTTGCATCTCCGCGTACCAGGATTTGCATTTGCGTTTCCGTATGATATGGAGCACCATTCTATCATCAAGCATTCATTCTATCATTCTATCATCAGCCAAGGTCCAGGATCAATCTCGCAGATTTTCTCAAGACTATCTTTAGCCCAGTCAGGGGCATCTTCTGCAATACTGCGGGTTTCCCCTTATGAAATTCAAGATTATCAAAACAAAGTTCAGCCCAACCAGGGGCATCTTTTTCAAGACCATGGGCGTCTCCCATAACGTTATTTCAACCTTAGGGTTGATCAGTTGTCAAGATGATATTCAACCCAGTCATGGGCATCTTCTTCAAGACCTTGGGCATTCCCCACAAAGTTCTTTCAACCTTTATGGTTGATCAAATTTCCAAGCTAGATTCAGCCCAGTCAGGGGCATGTTATTCAAGACTCGTGGGCACCCACGAAGTTGTTCAACCTTTTGTTGGGAAAATTCGAGAGCTGCAAAGCAACCATCAACCCAGACAGGGGCATTTTCTGCAAGACCGTGGGCATTCCCCACAAAGTTGTTCAACCTTTTGTAGGGAAATTTCAAAAGTTTCAAAGCTAACATTTAGCCCAGCCAGGGGCATCTTATGCAAAACCGTGGGCGTTCCCCATGGAGTTGTTCAACCTTTTGTTGACCAAGATCAAGAGTTTTAAAGCAAAACTCAGCCCAGTCAGGGACATCTTCTTCAAAGTTCATGGGTGTTCCTCATGAAATTATTTCAATCTTACGTGGTAAAAGTTGTGACCTCCAAGCTAGTCAGTGGGCGTTACCGTTGATTTATCTCAATCCAATCTTCCTCTTAGGCGTCTCCCAGTGAGTTGTCTCCAGCAAACTTGAACTTTTGTCAATTGTCTTACTATCATCCTTTTGGTGATATCTGAACCTTGTCATTTCAACCTAGCATGCATCCTTTTGGTGTTGGTTGCCTTCAAGATTGGGAAGTTACTGGCATCCTTTTGGTGATAGTTGAACCTCGTCAGTTCAACCTAGCCTGCATCCTTTTGGTGTTGGTTGCCTTCAAGATTGGGAAGTTACTAGCATCCTTTTGGTGGTAGTAACTCTTGAGTTTGCTCTATCATTCTTTTGGTGACGGGTCTGTCATCCTTTTGGTGCCAGATGGTGCGAGTGTGGCTCTGCCATTCTTTGGGTGGTAGTAGCCGGTGTAAGTTTCACTCAGTCATCTTTTTGGTGCCAGATTGTGTGAGTGTTTTCTATCATCCTTTTGGTGATAGGTTTGTCATCCTTTTGGTGTTGGATTCATGTGTTTGTTATCATCCTCTTGGTGATAACAATCGTTGTCGGTTACTCAGTGTCTACTCGAGGGTTGACATTGATGCGTTTTCTACTTCCCGTACACTTCTTTTTCTTTTCGGACAAATTCTGAGTCTTCTTCATACCTAATCGACTTCTACCTTGCAAGAAAGAATGCCGCAACAATTCAAGCCAATTAGATAGGGGCATCTGTCATACCCCAAATTTGTCCTACCCACATAATTTTCATATGTACATTCACCTGTTAACCATAATCCATAAAATCCCAACAAAAAAATGTTGTTTTTGTTTCATTGTCTTATTGTCTAAACTTAAGTTGTTTTAAGGATAGCAAGTCAGGAGTGTGTGGTATGGATTGATGTTCAAATGGTTTTAACATAATCTTAGTTAGTCAATGGTTTGCTTCATGATCAAGGCTAGGGTTGCATGACTCAAGTGGTGTATGTCTGAGGTTCCAATTATGTTTTGCGCCAAGTCAGGTCCGTTGTGAATGGATCAAGTCCTTAGGATATGTCAAGTTATCGGTATTTCATAGCTGATAATCATCAGGATCAAATTCTTTTCTCAATTAAGATTTGGTACATTTGTATTGAAGTTTAAGGTGTGGTTCTTTGATTCCAAGATATTATCTTACTCATTTGGTTCATAATGAAGGGTTTGGTTCATCAAATACTTAAGTGGCAAGATTCAGGTGGATTTATTGATCCAAGGCATCAGTTCTTTTTTTTAATCAAGGTTTTGGACCAGTGCAGTTCATTCTTCAAGACATGTTATTCTAATTCCATTTCCAAGTCCATTTATACATTCCACGTCCATTTTCCGATTCCATTTTTAATGCCATGTCCATTTCATTCAAGTTCCAAAAATCCATATTCACTTTTTATCCATTTTTATCTATCTTTTCTAATTAATCTTTAAAAGTCCAAAAAAAACAAAAAAAAAAAATCTACAACAATCCATCAAATTACACAAGCTCATGAAAGTTCAAAATAGATAAATATAATATGTTTCCATACAAAGATTTTCAGCATGAATTTAAGCCAAACCATGACCTCACAAACAGCCAAATACAACAACATTGCCAAATTTTCTGCGTGTCTCACCAATTCACATACATACCATATCACACCAAGCACGACCATACACCAAATAAGCCACGAACCGTAAACTTCAGCAAGCCCCCACGCAAAACAACCAATTTATCATGGTCCACATGAAAAACCTTTACCAACCTGATACTAAGATTTGTACCTGCCAAAATTCCAATATAAATAGTACAATAACACGACGTTTTGCAGGCCACGAAATAAAAACAACAAAGCGAGACGCAATCAAAAGAAACAAAAACAAAACCAATTTGCACAACGGTAACACAGTAAAACATTTCTCACCACAACTCCGCATCAAACGTACCACTGACCTTGCCAAACGGTCCGCAACATGACACTGGCAACACATGATTTATGCACTAAATCATGTGGTGAGAAATCATGATTTAGCAAGGTCATGATTTCAAATTATGAACAGATTCGATGAAGTCTTTGAGGCTGTTAACCTTCATTATTTCTATACTTTGGGATTGTGAGAGGTTACCCTCGATTATTAACATAAGGTTTGTGATTAAGATGAGATTTAACCTTACTTTCAATTTTATCTCTATTTTATTTTATTTTATTGATCAATGAAGTCTTTACATTTGTAAACATCGACTTATCGAAGTCGATAATCTTCATTATTTCAAATCTGTAGAAAATGATCATTTGGATCATTTTTCTATAATTTGGGATCGTGAGAGATTACCTTTGATTAATCGACACGACTTTATAATTAAGACGAGATCCCACTTCTTTTTGGTCTGTACAATCAGAGAATGATCCTCAATATAATTTCACTATCTTGTCTTAGCACTGATATCAATTTACGCAACCTCCTATAGTCCGACTTTCTTCATAAGTCGAGCTACGGCGGTTTAGCGTTACATTTCATCCTGATTCATTTAATTAACTATTAACCATTGATTTTAATTTTTGTTCAATATAATTGCTTTAGTTTTCAGTCAAATATACCCTTGATTTAATTTCAGTCAATATATTACTGTTTGTGTACTCTTGCTCATATTATTGTTTATATTATTGTTGATATTATTTTGCTTACTATCTTGCTCATTATATCATTAATCTTATTATCATTGTTCATATTCATCTTATCATATTATTCATATATTGTTCATCAAACCTCTTCTTGTTTATCTCATTCAAAAATACCAAAAACACGATAAAACTATTGAAACCCTAAAAATCCTAAATTAGAGGACTATTGATCATTATCTTGGGTATTGAAGTCTAGACCTTGTACATAAACCCTAGTTTGGATATTTTGTCCGAGCTCTTTTTCATTGTTTAGTTTAGAACACCTTGCACACACACGGCTTCCTCTTGGGCTACCTGACAATGAGACCATTTATTTCTCGCAATCCCATGTACTTTATATGTATCTCTCTCCCATTACAATGTAATACTTTAGTTTCTTTTCATGCTTGTTTGCTTACTTGTTAAGAAAGATAAAAATAAATTAGGCTAGAATACATTTTCAAAATAAAGAACAAATTAGGGTTGCGAGACCATCTTATCCCTTTCTTTCTTGGGGTTTTCTCAATGTTTTCCCTTCCCATTTTGGGATAAATAAAGTTCGATGACGACTCTTCTATTCTTCCATTTTTCGCCTCTTCGTCGTTGCTCTTTTTTGAGTAGCGACATATGGTGAAAGTTAGACCTTGGTTTGCATACATGACTAACCACAAAACTTTCGGATTAATGCCGGAAGGTCTAACTAGTAACCAAAGAAAAAAAAATTCTGACGCCAAGTACTTTGTGTGGGATGAACCTCATTTGTTCAAACTTGGTGTCGACAACATTTTAAAGAGATGTGTGTCTCAGGAGGAAGGCAAAGACATCCTTTGGCATTGTCACAACTCTTCATATGGAGGTCATTTTAACGACACAAGAACGACCGCGAAAGTCCTCTGGCTTTTATTGGTCGTCCTTGTTCAAAGATGCGCATGCGCACACCAAAAGTTGTGATAAATGTCAGAGGATTGATGGAATATCTTAACAGAATGAAATGCCTTTGAAAAACATATTAGAAGTCGAGGTTTTCGATTGTTGGGGCATTGATTTCATTGGTACATTTCCACCGTCTTTTAGAAATGAGTACATTCTTGTTGCGGTTGACTACGTCTCGAAGTGGGTTGAAGCCATAGCAAGCGCTAAGGCAGACGGGAAAACCGTGATAACATTTTTGAAAAAAAAAATATTTTCTCGATTTGGTACTCCGAGAGTGTTAGTAAGTGACGGAGGATCCCACTTTTGTAACACTCAGTTAGAAAAAGCTTTGAAGCAGTATGGTGTGAGGCACAAAGTTGCAACACCATACCATCCACAAGCTAACGGGCAGGCCAAAGTATCAAACCGAGAAATTAAAAAAAAATGGAAAAGACTGTGTCCACTTCTAGGAATGATTGGTTAAGTAATCTTGACGATGCTTTGTGGGCCTATCGGACGGCTTTCAAGGCTCCGATTGGTCTCACCCCTTTCAAAATGGTTTACGGAAAAAACGGTCACCTACCGGTTGAGTTGGAGCACAAAGTATTTTGGGCATTAAAGTTGCTAAATTTTAATCAAAACTTGAGTGGTGACAAAATAAAAAGCCAACTTCATGAGTTGGAAGAAATGCGCCTACAAACGTATGAATCCAACAAAATTTACAAAGATCGGGTGAAGGGTTATCATGACAAGAAGATTGTGGCTATGAAGTTTGAGGAAGGACAAATGGTGTTACTTTTCAACTCTAGGTTGAGATTTTTTCCAGGGAAGCTGAAGTCTAAGTGGTCGGGTCCGTTTCGGATTCGCAACGTATTAAGTTATGGAGCAATCACTATCAAGGATATGAAGACCAAAGAGAGTTGGACAGTAAACGGCCAAAGATAGAAGATTTACTTAGGTGGTGATTTCGAGCGGGACACCACCTCCATGCCCTTTTGCGATCCGTGATCGCATTGGACCGTCGAGCTCCAACGATGTTAAACAAAGCGCTTGTTGGGAGACACTCCAACATTGTAAGTATTTCCTGTTTTATTGCTTGTAGTTAGGTTTGTTTATGCAAGATGTGGTAGGAATTTGAGGAGAAAAAGCAAGACAAATTTTAAAACAAAACCTGTCATGTTCGCTAGCTACTTCGCAGTGCGATAGTTGAGCGAACAGGTTCACTAGGAAGCTCGCAGTGCGAACAATGCGAAATAGGTCTGCCACATCAGTTATTTCTTTTAATAGTATTGGGTCACCCATGTGGGCCCATTATCTCTTTTGATTCTGAATATGTTTTAAGTATTTTCCCACTTCTCACTTGCCACTCCACTCCATATCTCATTGCATTTTCACGATAAAACTTGATCACTTTAAATTAAAACCCTAAAAATTTTTAGAGACTTCCTTCAATCAGCAACAATTCAGTTTTGTACATCTTCTGTCATTTATATTATGCAGGATTGTGCTAGTCTGAGGAAAACATGCCAAATTGGTTGATTAGGGTAGGTTTAATTTTGCTCAAAAATTTTGTTGCATGTGATTGTTAGTCATTCCTAGTGTTACCTACATCATGATTTCTTTGACATTTATGCTAGTTAGTGAAGTATCTTGGTTGAGGAACAAAACAGGGCTGAAATTTCAATTTTCGCAGCCTTCGCAGCGCGAACCTGGGGCGAGTTTTCGCCAAGCCTTCGGACAGCGAAGTGTTCGACGAACATGAAAAAATTTAGTTTGTTTTATGATGAAGGGGACCTTGTTCCACTTCTTGTTTATTATGTTTGAATAATTTGTTTATGTTGGTTGATGTTTTTCTTCTCCATTGTTGTTTGTGCAGATGGCATCTAGGGCAATTGCATCAAAGAAGCAAAAATTTGGAAGCACCTCACATCCCCAACCGATTCAATATGACAATGACCGATTTGTAGAACCAAAGCAGGGCGTGTGTTATGTGGCTTTGGAAAAAAGAAAAATTTTGCCTGAAAAAGGATTCCTCATTAATCTGGAAGGATCCTACCGGACCGTCGTTGGAATTATTCGTAGTAAAAGGTGGGATGTGTTGGTAACACCAACGGATAGCTACAATACGGATTTGGTAAGGGAGTTGTATGCCAACGCTCTTCCTAATGATGATGAGCCGTTCACATGGACTACAAGAGTGTTGGGCAGAGAGGTAAGCTTTGACCTAGACACCACCAACAGAGTACTCGAAAGGCCACTGAACCTAGGTGAAGATGAGATAGATGAATATCATCGAGACCTAAGGCTTCAAAGGGATACCGATTTGATTTCCGAAGCTTTATTGATGGAATAAAAAACAATGGAATTGAACCCATTTGGGGTTCCAAGGAGTTATTACCATAGGGAGGATATGAAACCCTTACCACAGTTGGTGTTGTTGTTGGTTTTGACTAACATAAAACCAAAATTACATACTTCTACCATGTCAATCCCAGTGGCACATTTGGTTCACTACATTCCCACTGACGTTTAAATTGATGTGGCTAGGATCATTGCAGATGAAATGCGATCCGTGGTTGAGAGCGGGTTAAAAGCGGGGGCGGGAGTGAATTGTCCACTCGCTTTTCCTTGTCTCATCATGGCCTTATGTGTCCATGCAAAGGTGAAGCTACTTTCGCGTAGACAAGTGACGATTTTGGCTGCTATTGATGATCGTTATGTGGACAAATATTGTCGGTCATAAGGTGCAAAAGGAAGTTCATCTGATGTAGCTACTTCGGATGCTGGGGCTATTGAGGGCCCCGATGTTGCATTCACTCAGAATTTTGATCCATTTCAGCAGGCTGTCTACACTATAATTGGGATTGGATGGCGGCTACTCAGCACGCCATGATTGACGTTCATGATTCTATACAGGTACTCCAGTTGCAGTGCTTAGATCCCTCCATTGAGCGCAACATGAAGACTAGGGAGCAGTTCCTGGCGCATGCAAGTTGGCCTGAGGTCAGGCCTACATTTGGAGAGGGGTGGGTGCTTTTGGCCCTGATGTTGGCAGTGTTGAGGTAGGAGATGGTGATGATGCTGATGATGATGAGTATGGTTCGGAGGACAGTTCAGAGAGTGTGGAGGGCACCGAGTCTGATGAGGACTGATTTTGTTTTGTTTCTGTTTTGTGGGCATGATCATGAGAAAATTCCTTTGGTCTTCAAAGTGAAGTATTTTTGTGCTTAGATCATTGCTTTTTCTATTATTATTGTACTTTGTTTCAGATATTGTTTATGTACTATTTTGAGGTGTTTTTACACCTAAGCACATATTTATTGAGTATTATTAATGTCAATTAGTTTTTATGTTAAAAATAATGTTTTTCAAGTGGTTTTTAATGTTTCTCATGCTGTTGGGATTTAATTGAACTTCTAGATTGGTTGCTCTCTGAAAAGAAGTATGCAATGAAGATTCATCCGAGT